TGGAAACTATGCTATTGTTTTATTCCTAAAATAACTGACTAAAGTATAATGATTTTTTGGTCATTTTTATGCTAGTTGGATTCACCTCATATTAATAAGATTTTATAGCGCCTAATCATTACTCTTTCAACAACACACACACACACACACATATACACACACACAAGCCCACAGAATTTTAATCATGGTAGAATCCTAAGGCATACACTATACATGAAATAATTAGTGGTCAAGGCATTAAGAGATTTACAGAATTTGTGATCACAGCATTTATGACATAATTCAGTCAACTATATAATAAAATTAGAAAACATAAAAGTACCTGACAAGATTCTAATTCTTTGATACAAACTGCACTCTGCCCAAAGTTAGAGGAGGCATTTTTTGGAAAATCCTTATAGACTGATAAATCCTAGTCCAGAAGGTTCATGATCTTCTTCCCAAGTAAATAATTACATAATATAAATGAGCAGAGGAGGTAAGGCTATCTCTTTTACTCTCCTATAAAAACATTCTATGATTGTTACCATTCAGAAAATTATATAATGTAAGTTAATTAAAAAGGGAATTTTGAGTAATTCATAACAATCCCAGAAAGCAGTTTTTCATTGTGAGATTAATATTGCATACAAACATATTAAAATTTAGAATTTAGACATTTTACTTCCTAATGAATAAATTCAAGAATGACCTAGAAACTGCTTGGTTTCTCCCAACTTTTAGTTCAGTTCAACCTTTCCATTCACCATTACTAAATTAGTAATGGATTTCTATTGGTCTCCTAGGAAACTACAATATAGAGAGAATTGAAAATGGTGATAATCTCATTTCCTATAAACCTGTAAACAAAAGATAAACTGAATAGAGAAAGCACCAATGCCTCACTGCCCCCTTGGAAGCAATAGGTTTAAAATTACCTTCAAGAAGTCTCTTCAAAAACAGGGTATGTTGTTTTACAGTAGAAAAAGAAAGGAAAAGCAAGAATCTGAAAAATTCTCTGGAGGTACCCGCATAAAAGAGGAAGGAAACAGAACGTGAAGTATAGTGATATACATTCATTACAAGTTCAGGAAAATTTTTTTCCTTGTCTGACTTAAAAATTGTAATTACAAGCTTGTAACTTTGTGCATATTACCTTGCCTTTATTACACAGTGGACAATTTTATTCGGCAGTACAATATAAGCAACTTCAGGGAAGATTTAATGAAAACAAAATCTCAGCAGTAGCCGTTTTATATTCCACTGAATGGTTTTGGAAAGATCCGGAACTATCACTTTATTAAAATTTGTGAGTTAACTTCAATGTGTAAAAGTTTCAGTTCCCTATTAGCCAAATTTGAGGTTATAAAATGGAAAAACACAAAAACAAAAAACCCTTTCACCAAAAAGGAGGAGCATCAGGAAGAGGAGGAGACAAGAACAAAGCATTGACAACCATGTTGGAATTTTAGCATGTTTCATTCTGGTCATTAGAAGATCTAAGTAAAAGTTAGGAGCAGGGGCAGAACAGGAAAAGTCAGTATGCAAAATATTTACATGGGACAGATAGCAAAAGTGAGTTTTAATTATTTTATCATTTAGGTCAACATAAATTCCTATATAGATAGCTGTTGTAACACTAATTGCCTGTAAGATATAAATTCCCCCTTGGTTATATTCAGTTAAATACATTATTACATACTTTCCATGGTCCTCTGTTTTACAGTGCTAATATCCATCTCTACAAATACTAAAACTAAGGCCCTTGAGGCCCACAGTATGCTGTGTATTTCCCTCATGCTTCCCATACCCTCCCACCTCTAACAGGACTGATAAATGCTCCGAAGAGAGAAGTAAAATAGGGTAGGAATGGGATTGATGTTCTTAAAGATTGAATCAGGAGGTACGTGTTCAGTCTTTAATTCTTTGCTTCTACCAATAGTGTGATGGGGCTTAGGACAAGCTACCCCAAAATAGGGCACCTTGCAATATCAAACATTATAAGCTGAAGAAATGTAAGAAAATAATAGAAGCAAAAAGGTCACTCTGACCTTCTTTCTGCCCTTCTCCTCAGAAATAGGTCATAAAACCCTCATGTGAGAGGTCCCCCCGTACCTGGAGGAAAGGAACATTCTTATCTCAGAAGACAAAGGAACACCACGGCCAATCTAAACAAACAGCCCCTGTTAAGTTTCCGCTAATTTACTACACTTAGCTCATACTCTTTGATCTGTCATATTTTTATAGGACTATCCACTCATCATCAAACCCAGCATAAAAATTCTCAAGTTTAACTTTTTCTTTGGGTCTGTACTTCCCTATGGAGGCTTCGGTGTCACATGAAACTTACATGAAGTCAGTGTGTATGCTTTCCTCCTGTAAACTTACCGTTGTCAGTTTAATTTTCAGACCCAGTCCAGAGACCCTAAGAGAATCAAGGGAAACTTTTCCCTCTCACACAAGAAATACATATTCATATCTTCCAAATGTGGTTTTTTTAGGTGTCTTTCTCATTGAGTAGCTTTAAAACTAGAAAAGTCTTAAAAGTAGTTGTTAAGAGACCTATGAATAAGGTTTAAGGTTTTAAAAGGAAATTTCAAAATCTATTTAGGTTCCTTAAAATTCCTTTGACAGATATTCTTTAAAACGAAGAAAGTAAAGAGAAATGGGATAAAATAATGTGCATAGGATTTCCCTAGAATAAAAATGGCTCTTCGAAGAGAAAGTTTTATGTCCCACATATTTTCGTAACAAAAGTTCACATTGCTATGTGCAAGATGAAGAACGAAGGAGCTGCCCCTCCGCTGCCCTGCTCTTCCGGTACCTGTATGCCCTACATCTCAGCACCTACGATGTCTCATTCTTTTTTTTTTTTTAATGTTTTATTTATTCCTAGGACAGAGAGAGAGAGAGAGAGAGACAGCGTGAGCAGGGGAGGGTCAGAGAGAGAGGGATTCACAGACCGAAACAGGCTCCAGGCTCCGAGCTGGCAGTCAGCACAGAGCCCGACGCGGGGCCCGAACCCACGAACCGCGAGATCATGACCCAAGCGAAAGTCGGACGCTTAACCGACTAAGCCACCCAGGCGCCCCATGTCTCATTCTTACTAGTGGTCATCCCGGCTGGACCGTGAGCCAGAAACGGAAGGACCGTGGGGAATTTATGGCTAACTTAATTCACAGATATGAAATCATTAGTTTTGTACAATGCCAATTTTTTTTACAGAAAAAAGGAGACATTAAGTAATTATAAATCTAGGTAATAGTAATAACTATCATGCACATACATATAATGCTTCACCATTTATAAGTTAATTTTATAAGCATTTCTCACATGATCATCAATATGAATCACTGAAGCAAACACATTAGTTATTATCATCTTTACTTGATAACAAAGGGAACTCTGGCTTCAAGAAGGTTTAACTTGCTATACTTAAATGTTAAACTATAGGTACATCAAATCGTACATAGAAGGACTGCTCATTCACCTCTTAGAGATTCCATTTATAAACTACATGGTGATCCTCTGATGGATTAGAAGCCATGTTTTATGCTATATAAGGCACCTCATACTTTTGCTATATTTAGTGATGTGAAGGAAAAGAATTCAGTGATCAAACTAGAACTCCAGTAATAGCAATGTCTGCTTTAGTGGGTTTTACTCTGTTTAAGGTGTAACTTACTTTTTTTTAGTATAACTAAAAAAACTAATATATGACTAAAACAATAAAGATGTCAAAATACTTCAGTAGGAATATTTAGTATGTATCATAAGGTCAAACCTTAAGCTCACTACTAAGTAGCCATGGAATTTTTTGTTAACACTGTTATCAGGAATTGCCTGTAAATCTGTAAGCTTCATCCAGAACTAGTACAATAGGTGACACATTTCCTTTTAACAAGGGAAAATAAGAAACATATTTTACTATTGCTATGACCAAATATTCTACTTGTAAATGTCAACGAATGGGAATACTTGTTTGGGAAGATGGAAGGGCATCCCCTTGAAAGAAGAGATTGGATAACTACACTGGAAATTCTGCTCCTTAAATTTCTTTTTACAAACCCCAGTTAAAGGGCACCTTGGGTGGCTCAGTAGGTTAAGCATCCGACTTCAGCTCAGGTCATGATTTCACGGTTCTTGGGTTCAGACAGCGTCGGGCTCTGTGCTGACAGCTAGCTCAGAGCCTGGAGCCTGTTTTGGACTCTATGTCTCCCTCTCTCTCTGACTCTCCTCTGCTCACACTTGTCTCTCTCGTTTGCTCTCAGAAATAAATAAAAACATTTAAAAAATTAAAAAAAAAAAAGTAAACCCCAGGTAAGCATCCTTTCCCCTTAGAAGACAGATAAAATGGAAATATTCTTATCCTTATCTGTATTGGTTGTTATACATTTTGTAAACATACGTAGAAGCTTATGTTTCACATCTGTATTTTAAAAATAATGATGTGTTTTGAAAGGTGAATCCAATGTTATTTAAATATGCTTACAAATTTTGAAATTTAGTCATGACAGTCCCATTGGGAACATTTTTCCCCCCAGAGTCACAGGCCTTTGGGTCATGGATAGCTTTTCTTTCTTTTCCTTCCTGCCCTTGTCAAGATCCAACCATACTAGCAGGGAATAAAATCAGCAGGACGCTTGGCAGCCAGCTTCAAAAAGGCCACCTCTTCACTAATGAGGCATTGAGAAGAGAGAGCCACAGACTCTAATAAAATTCCGCTCTGAAATCTGTGATGCTTCCAGGTACATTTTCCATGAGCATCAGATGAAAGTAAGGAAAGATATAAAATCATGAAAAATAATATAATAGAAATGTCATAGCCAAGTGTAACCACAACATAGAGACGCAGCTTTGAAATGTTCTTAGCTTGATACAATTAGTACGCGGATGGTTTAAGACAGTTCAAATTTTATATCATGATGAGCATTATTTTCATTTTCCAAGAAGTTGTTTTAAAAATCAAATGAAAAGCATTTTCTGGTCTGAAGATTTATTACTAGCAAGACAAAAGCATTTCCTTAACTGAAATAGAAATCTGAATGATCCGAAGTCCCACCAAAAGATGCAGGATGACTTGTTCCTGACAAAGGCCCTAGTGAGACTCTACTGTGAACATAGAGACCAGAGTGGAAAGAGGATCAAAATTCTGTGCTGTCAGGTAAGCACCTTCCTGTGGGCAGAACACAGATCAATTAAGTCAAAACTAAAATTAAATCATGCATAGGCCTGTGGCAACCCTGACGTAGGGAAGCAAAGGTAGTAAAGAACATTCTTCTATAGTCTTTCCTCTAGCATAATTTCATGATTCTATATTTATTCTACAAATCTAGTTAAATAGAAATTATTAGCTGGGTGGCTTAAAATGTCAAACCTTGGGTACAGATGGTCAAAATGTGGGGCAGAGAATTTTCTGTGTTGTCATCATGAAGGTTCAGATACATGGATTCATCCAGAGGACTAGAGGAGCTGACCGAGAACCCACCTGCACAGCCTCCCCAAAAAGGTTTCATCTGGCTTTGGGGCAGAGACAGCACTCAGAATTGTCCTCACTTTGTTGTCTAGTCAAAACCACATGGTCTTCAAGAAAAGTCATTAGGAGAGAATTCCTACAAGAAAAAGAAATGAATTTTATAAAGAAAATGTAGCAACACACTAGGAACACAATGTTGGAGTTGTTTGAGATTGCACTTTATAGGATATTACTGAAAAAGAAACTGGAGAAAGCTGAATGAAGTATAGGGATGAGATAAATGTTTTATTCATTTTCATATTTGAATAGTTGTTTCACATTGGATATTGGATGGTTGTGTAGGGGAATGTCTTTTTTTATATGAAATACATACTAAAGTACACAGCTTAATGAGATATTAGTTGAACAAGTTAGTCTCAAATGGTTGAAGAAATTAAGAGTTCTTTCTCTTAAACTTGCCACTTTTTAATAACTGTGTAAGTTTGAGATTGCTTTAAAATATATATATATATATATATATATATATATATGCATATCCGTATGTGTGTGTGTATATCTCTCTCCATGACCTAGCTTAGACCTACCATTCCAGCAATTTTACTCATTATTCCCCTTCACAAGTCCTGTACCCTACTTTGTTTGGCTTATTGACTATTCTAATATAATATGTTATAGACTTTCTCACTTATGTGACTTTGCTCTGTTACCTCCACCGTAAAGCCTGTTCAGAAAAAATCTGCATGTCACATTCTACTTATCCTTGAAAGCATCTCCTAAATGAATATCTCCTCCATGAAACCTACTATCAGAAACTTACTAGTCTAACACCTCATACATAGTATGTGTTCAAAACACATCTAGTGAAAAGAATTTAATCACCTATGACTAGGGTAGTTAAAGATAAGACCATAGAAATTGTACATGAGCTGGGCCTTTCAAAATCAGCAGAAATCAGCAGTCCAAAGGTAGATAAAGACTTAATAACTCCACAAACAGGGAATAAAGAAGAAAATTTTAAAAGGAGTTATAAAGTGGTTATTTGAAGGTAGATTTGGGAACATACTTTAATGATGTATGAGAAGAAGCGCGAAAAGATTCAGATCATGGTAATTGGCAGAACAGAAACCTAGCCCTGCTGTACTTAGGGACTGGATATTAATTTCAAAAGCTAACGAAGCCAAGGAGAAATGAAGAGATTTTCACATGAAAGCTGTGAAACAAAGCAGGATGAGATCCATTTTCAATAAGAAGAATGTGTCTAGATTTTGTTATGCTCAGTTGCCTGAAGTGGCACAGTGTTGGGTCACAGGCAAAGATTAGTGATAATCCTAAAACACTGCAATGGGAAGAACAGCCAAAAAAGAATCACATGTTATGGCTGTATATTTCCTAAACCATTTTCCTGGAAGAAGATGCTCTAAATTAAGGATATATTATTAGTCACAGTCATGGGAGACCAAACACGTAACTGCTAAAGAGACAGTGTTCCAGCTTCTCCTTGAATTTCCTAATAAAACCTAAAAAGCAATAACATATTTCTAATGTATCCAGAATTTTTAATCAAAAGACTACCAAGAATAGTGCAGACATTACTGATTGCTACTTTAATATGAAAATCCAACTTTTAAGAGAGAGGACTTCCTCATGGAAAAATAGAGTGATTTCAGCTTTTGAAGGAAAATATTGGAATACTGCCATTTTGTAAGACTCAGCAGTTTGGCAGATGAAGGTCCCACTCACAAAACAAAAAGAAGCTATTTCATCATCAAGCAAAATTACCAGCATGAAACATCTGTCATGTCACCCTTAACCCTGTACCCTTTCTATGATGTTTTAGGAGGTTCGGTATTTCTACTAAGCTGCGGATCACCTTGTTTTTTAACACTCTCACTTCACTAACAATTTTGCTACATTACCAAAGGAACAAACCTCAAAAGAGGCTTACAAAGGAATGCATTTTTATAAGGATTTCCTGAGTATAATATGTTGAAATTGCTGCCCAAAAGCTTGGCACTTCTCTGTTAATTTATGCCATCCCATTTTCCTATTTCTAGCCTTTCCCACAGGCTGATACCCTGTTTTCCTTGCTAGAGCTTTCCTTTTTCTTACAGCAGTCTCCAGAGACTAGGGTGACTTGAGTAGAAGACTCTCAACGTATCTGACCCTGAGATTCTGTCATCTAGGAGTATCACATCATAAGACTCCAGTCCCTTTAGCCTGTCCCTTACAATGCCCCATATGAAATTCATTTAGCCAAAAAAAAAATCATGTGGCCATTTTCTGCAAATTATCATTCCCTTGGGGTGTTTTTCCAGAGACAAATGAAAAGGGAAAAGGCTCATTTGCACTCTAGGAATAAATAATAATGGCTTATAATGACCATGACAATAAACACCAGCCCATGGGTACAGGACTTAGAAAAAATCAGGGGGGTGCCTAATGTGAAACAGGCAGTGGTCCTAATAGGTAAAGGGCAGGGGCACTAATGAGAAATGCAATGACTCTGTCACGACTTTCCATGAAGTTGTGGTGTGCTTTCTGTTGTATTGATCTGAAGTGAGCTTTAGGAAATGTCTCTTCCATACACATGTTCATGTTCTCTTAGTTTTCTATCTGGAGATCACTAGATGTTATGGAGGAAGACCAAGAGGAAGGAAATTACGTCTGAAATATGTGAAGAAGGCAAATATCAATCTATTTTAGTCTATTCAAGTGAGTATAGTAAGCCTGAGAGATTAATACTGTTGTCCGGAGGGTTGTTGTGAACACTCAACAAATTGTAGTAAATCTCTTTCTGTATAAAATATTTCCTGGGTTCTGAGTGGTATGGTAGATATGTTTCATATTTATAAACCCGATGATAGCATTTCATCTTCTCAAATTCTTACATAAGGAAAGAATAGCATTCTTTGATCCATATGTTGGAATGTTCTAAGACCAGATGTGTCTATCCAAAGAAAGAAGTCACAAATCACGTGGCAGCAAGCAGTCTTTTGAAAAAAGAGCAAACCAACTTGAAAGCAAATGTTAACATTTTAAATAACCAATTAGAAACTAACATTGGAAATTAGCTGTTTGGTTAAGACAAATTATGTGTTCTGTAAAGCAATGACAGTTTTGTTATGTTGGGAGAAAAATAATTCTTCAGAAAATTGGTTCCTTGATATTTGGAGTTGGATATTAAAAGAAGTTGAAGGAGAAAAATATTGTCTACAATTCACAGAGCTGAGCACACTGTAGTGAAATTTGCTGTACTTCCAATTATTGGCAAGTTTTATTTTTAGTTACTCCCAACAAAATTAGCTAAGACAGTAAATAATAGTTTATTTGTAGCAAGTGTTTTCAAAGTTAATGAGAATTATTAAAGATAATTTTTATCACATGCCTTCCCCGCAAAGCCAGTAGATTAATAACTAAATAGGGACATTACCCACAGCTTGGCTGCCAGGAAGAATTATATAAACTAATTAACAAAGACCTTGGAGGAAAGTGGTCTCATTTACAATCTTGATAAAAAGGCGGGGAGAAAAGATACCACAAAGGAAAAGATAGATCCTTCTATGTATTAGCTATCTTCTTTATAATAAAATATATCATAACTGAAATAAAAAGGAAAAAGCTAATGAAATATTTTCAGGAAAAGACATAATATTGAAAAGAAAAAAAATTGAGCACATGTCAGGAAAAATTAGAAAACAAATAAATGGAAAAATTAAAATTGGAAATTAAAAATTTGAAAACATGCTATATCCAGTAAGTGTGCAAAATGAAAAATAAGGTAATTATTTATACTGGTGATATATATATATATATATAAATTGATAAACATTTTAGAAATCACTTTTACCATGTGTTCCAAAAGTTATATAAATCTTAGTATCCTTTGATGGAATAATCTCACTCTGAGGGAATATTCCTAAGGATTATTTAAAAGAAAAAATATCTATATTCATTGCAGAGTTATTTATTGTAGACACCCCCACACACCAAATACTCGATATTTAGCAATAGGAAATGATTAATTAAATTTTGGCCTATCAACTTGATATTAGGTAATAATGGAAATATGTATGAGAATTCTGTGGCAACACAGGATAAATATTAAGTGAAAATAGCTGTCAAAAAACTGCAAAGCTGTCAAAAATAAAAAGGGATGTATAAAAAGAAAAAGATCATTAAAAGCAGAAATATTGCTAATTCTGTATCTAATTTTTACCTACAGTTTGTTCTCACTTATTTGGTGAGAGGTGAAAGATTGTTCGAGTTACTGTTGGAATTTAGTAATTTCAAAATAGTAAAATATAAGCTCTTCTAAATAAACTTGCTTTGCAATTTATTTCCAAAACAACAGCCCTCCATTATATGTGTTCTGTGAAATTATATTCAATAAAGTATTTGGTCAGTGCTGTTAAATCAGGCAGACGAGTTTTGACAGGATGTTTTACTAAACTAACTGACAATGTTTTGGATACAAGAGCTAGGGCTTGAGTCTGGTGCAGGTCAAGGACAGCAAAAAAGGCCATACAGACAGAATCAGAACTGTTCTAATCAGAAATCATCTCAAAGTGCTTAGTGAGGAGAAATTGATATGGATACCAGAACTTTCCTCCATATCCTTTGTAATTTTACCTTAATAATTTTATCCTATATCTTTTATAATTTTATATTTATGATTAGGTATAAAAATTGCTGCATGAATTCATTAGAATGCAAGCTCAGTCTCCCTGTGTAGATCCTTTGATTGTTTCACTAAGGTCCCAAGTTAATTATTTGCCCAAATAGTATACATAAACATCCAAACCAAGTATTAGAGGCAAGGGTCAAATGCTAAAAAGCCTGGAGGCTTAACCTGGTTTATAGATTTATGTTTGGGTGGGCACAGGCTGACAAAAATTTGAATTGTAATGTCCTCTGGTGGAGCAACCAGTCTGAACCAATCTGTAATTTTTATTATCTTCCCCGGTTCCCAGAGGCAATGGAGGTGACACATTTGACACCTATTTTAGAGTTTTAGGACTCAGAACTAGTGGGAAAATGAACTAGTGACCTAAAAAGTCTTGTGAATGGATCCATCACAGGAATGCCCCAGGGCCCTCTAATCTTGGGTAGCTCAGTTTTTCCTGGGGCTGTGGCTGC